GCTTCAATTGATTTAGACTTTGAGGCGTGTTGCTTAATCTAACAACTCGTTTTCTAACGGGGCTGATCTCTCGACTTTGTACTTGTGCTGGGCTTGTTGGTCTTGAAGACCTTGTGTCGTGGGGCTGTACGCTTCCGGACCTTCGTTGTCGGCGAGTCTCACTGGTTGAAGATGTCGACGCGTTCAGGGCACTCGTGCGCCGTCGCGTTCGGGGAGGTGAAACCGGACGCTCTGCGGGTGCGGGATGACCATCATTGAGAAGCGCCTTGGTGAGAGCACTGAGCTTCATAGGTACCGGGATCTCGTCCTCGGAGCTATCGTCGTGGAATTGCTGTGGTTTGGGGTGATAGCCATTGGGAAGGGGTTGGTTCGAAGGAGCAGAGAAGCTCTCGTTGTGATTGGCAACTGGGCGCGAAGGTAGTCTCTTAAGGGCTTGTCTTTGTGATGTTCTTCGCACAAGGCCATTGCCTATAGGTGTGGGCGAGGCCGTCGCCATATTAATGCTGTTTTGCAGAGGTGCAGTAGAGCGCGTCCGGGCCGTATGATGAGTCGAGTCGACCAATGATTGGTGATGGTGAGTCTGGTGAAGAGTTAAAGTATTTGCTACAATTCGATTATTATTGCCATTACTCGGCTTGCAAGACAAGTTTCCAAAACTTGAGATTATCGCGTATGGGGCAGGGAAGAGAGATATGGGAGACGAGGCGTGTTGTCCCACGAGAAAATATGGTCCAATCAGTGAGTTGTCGGTTGCCTAGCAACGACACTCGGCTCAATCTTAGCGGCCAAGTGTAGGGTTGCAATGTCATGCATCATAACTTGGTTGACAAACAAATAGGTAGTTTAGCTGATTACTGGTGGTGTGTCATTATGCTGATGGTGACACTGTAGAGTTGCATTTAAACCTCGCAACCGGTAGACAAGGCAATTGGGTTGGTTTTGTAAACGGCCTTTCGGTTACCATGCAGGACAACTGGCGGATCCATAGCCTAACCACCTGAATTTAATGTACGCTCCATCTGCATATGCATGTGAACTACCATGTTCAATATAGCACATAAAATGATGCGAGAAGAAGGGGTAAAAGAGAATTATAGGCTGATACTTTCCCCAACAACGTTAAATGCCAAAATTTGTAATTGATTTACCTGAGCTATATGTCCTGCCAAGTGTGTAGAGTCGGTTTAGATGGTTTACTTTGACACTTGGAATGTCAGCCATAGAATGAGACTGCAATGTAGACATTTAACATTCTTCATTGTGATCATATTGGTCCTCTATCTAGCTTCCGCTTTTTGTACTGAACAAATTGTCTAAATAGTCTTGTGATAACTATATATCACTTTATGTGCAATGGCACTGCACAACTTACAGAGGAAGCTGGTAAGTTTCCGTTCTTCCCCACAAAAAGTTAACTGGAGGTATTTGGCCAATCATGAATTTGTAACGCCAACGTTACGTCGGGTTGCTAGTGAGCCACATCGTCAAATGGTCCCATGCTACCTACGTATAGTCTCCCCTCTCCTCTCTCATGCAGTTTCGCTTCCAATTATTCCACCTTTTTTCTTTTCGTCGCAAATAGGTCGATGCACTCGCAATGGCAACTCAAAGGGGGCGGCCATGGGCGCGGATTGTATCCTTGACCGTCCTCGTTCTCGCTTTTGCGATTACCGTTGATGCTTCGACTGGCGACAGGTTACCAGAATTTAAGGATTGTCTCAGGGTGAGGGTAATCACATCGCAAAGTGACCAGAGACTAATTTAACATCACAGATCTGCAATGCCGAAAACTGTGCCCCAGGCAAACCGCAAACTCCGATCCGTACGTATCCTTGATTTCTACCATTAGTGTACTCTAGCTAATGCGTCTTTCCGTTGACAGCTGTTCTACATCGTCTCCTATTATGGAACTGCGCCAGCGAATGCGACTATGCCTGCCAGCATATAGTGACAGGTCAACGAATGGCCACAGGTCTCTCGGTCGAACAATTCTACGGGAAATGGCCGTTCTACCGTTTCCTCGGCATGCAGGAACCCTTTAGTGTCCTCTTTTCGCTGGGCAATCTCTGGGCGCACTGGCATGGATTGAAAACAATGGACCAAGCCAGGATACCAAAGTCATACTCTATGCGGATATTCTATGATTGGTTGGCCTATGTTGGCATAGCTTCTTGGACATTCAGCTCTATATTTCATACCCGTGACTTCCGTGTCACTGAGGAACTCGACTATTTTGCTGCTGGCGCCAGTGTGCTATATGGACTATTCTATACGGTGGTCAGGGTCTTCAGGCTCGATAAGCGCACACCCCGAAGACGAACCACACTCCGAGTCTGGTCGCTCTTTTGTACCTCCCTCTTCCTTGGCCATGTCTCATATCTGAAGTTCATTCGATGGGATTATACTTACAACATGGCTGCGAATGTGGCAGCCGGCATTGTGCAAAACGTGCTCTGGACGTGGTTCAGTTTCAACAGATACAGAGAGTCAAGGCGTATATGGGCAGCCTGGCCTGGTTTTGTGGTCGCTTGGATCATCTTTGCCATGAGCATGGAACTTTTTGACTTTCCCCCTTGGTTGGGTTGCGTTGACGCCCATAGTCTATGGCACCTTATGACCATTGGGCCTACTATCCTATGGTACAAGTGAGTTACATCGCGTAATGATTCTTTCTAGTCACATTGCTAACGATAAGTAGTTTCCTTGTTAAAGATGCTCAGGACGATATAGCTCGCAGCCAGAGACTTAAGCTTTAATAAGGAGCAGACTTATACTAGCAAAACATCACCATCTTATAGAACTAATTGAAAGGTGTTGGTATTTGTGTCGTAATCGTTTCTGAACACGAGCGTGTGATATCTATTGTAATTGATATGTATATATCTTAATAATGAACTAGCAGCGTCAAACAAGGACCCCACTTTCTTTCTTTCGATTGAAAATCAATCCATCCATTGACCGAGATTACCTCCCATCTATTTAAATACATTTCTTCCAACACCCAACATCTAAAATTAAGCCCAATATATACATTTCCCTCACCTTTTATCGTTTCATTGCAAGCATAATCGATTATGGCCGTGTTCATTATCCTCATGAAACTCATGTGCTGAGAAGATCACGCACCGACAGTCCCCGACCCTTGGAATCGCGACGATCATTATTCAACATCAACAATGCAGCCATAGCCTCTTGGTCCAGCTCGCTTTGAGGGTTGAGTGCTGGGCTTGTCAAGGCCGACCCTGGCGCCGAGGCATCGCTTCTGGCGTAGTGTGGTGCTCCGTATATCTGCGGACCGAAGGCGGGTGATGTCCCGGCAGAGACACTATAGCTGTATCGACGATGGTCGGTTGATGCTGAAGAGTAGGACTGTGCTCGATTGCGAGAGTCTTGCGGAGGAAGCGCAGGGGATGCAGACGGATGGCGGGCATTTTGATCCGGCATGGCGTTCAGAGCCGGCGATGCGACATCGGAATCTTCCATCTCGATATCATCATCACCAGCTGGGTCGCCTTGGAAGGTCGGGTGGAATTCACGAATGGACGGTAACCGCTCTCGACCCGTTGGTGTTTGACGCCCGGACTCTGTCTGGCCGTTGTCATCCTCCTGTTGTGCTTTCAACTTGGAGACACAATCCTCCAAATACCGGATATATTCGATCGAAGCCTGGATAGGAAATGAGTCAGTTACCGGCTTTCAATATTTAACGTACAGGTTGGACAGAGACATACCTGAAGAATGGATAGTTTGTGCATATCCCCTGTACAGGCTGGAATCATGCCCTTGAGTACGGCAAACTCCTCATTCATTTTGCTCCGCCTCCGACGTTCGATCAAACTGTGTGCGGTTTTCCTGGCGATCTTTCTTCCCGCTGCACTTGTAGCACTAGGTTGCTTCTTTTTCGTCTTATCATCTGTGGCCGCTTCCCCTAGAGGTGCTGCTGCGGCCTTTGCGTTGGCTGCCGTGGCTGTGGCTTTCGCAGTCGTGCTGCTCTTGCCAGTCGACTTCGACTTCTCCTTGTTAGTGTTGTCGCTGCTTCCCTCCTGTCGAGGTTTCATCTGGATTATCTTCCTGGATCGAGTTGGCGGAGGTGGTAGGGCGAACGAGTTGTCCTTTGCATCCCTGGCAGCTGATGAGCGACGACGAGCCTTTACGGTCTCGGCTGGTTGCATTGGGTATGTTGTTCCCGGTGAAGTGGTGCCAACCTGGTGTGACTTTGTATTTGTCGGTGAAACCTGAGATGACATCGTGGGCGAGATGCGAGAAGCGTCATAGATGGCTGGAGGCGGTAGCTCGAACGAGAGCTGGAAAGAAGCGAGTTGTTGAGTTCCGTCTTTTCCTTTAATGTCGGATGAAGAACCTGGGGTGAGTGGAAGTCCTGGCCGGGGCATCTTTGCAATGCTGAGAGTTCTGAGTCTGGTAACAATTCTGCCTACCAGAGTGTTGAATTAAATTCGATGGTAGGTGCCAATCTCAAGGGGAAAGGTCATATAAGAATAGTATGAGGGATGACAGTCCCAGCTTGAGGCAAGTTATAGTAACCAAGGTAAGAACAGCGATGAGCAGCTGTTACTTTTGATCAAACTGTTTTGTTCAGACCACAGGGGGAAGAGACACAACGAGACCCTTTTCTAAGAGAGGATAATATGGACTGCGGGCGAGGATGAGCAAGTTCCAGTCTCGTTTTAGAGTCAAGACATGGGCATGGGGCAAAAGATATTAAATTGGTCAACTCAGAACAATCTACCAGACGTGCTTCAACGCTGGATATACGGGGGCCTTTGCCTACAGAGGCGGACACGCAACGCTACCACGCCTCCCAGTCCAAAGGGTTCCATGTCTGAGCCCGCTGTTTCCCTCCAATCCAGCTCAAAGAAGTGCAAACTACATCTCAAGCTTTGTCCGACTTGAACCTAGAACGACCGGGTTAAAGGGAACTGAGTTTATGGACCAAGCATCATCGAGGAAATGGTCGCGTGCTCTATTTGGTGGTTAGCGAATCAGCGTGGGGGATTGACAAACGTGGTCAGAGTAGGCTTTTCGGTGGGCAGGGGTCCAGTCTCAGAAGCACAGAAAAGAGGCTTAGATTGGCGTCCATGCTGGATGAAGAAAGACTGGAAGTTACTCGAGCTTCGTACAGGAGGGCACGAGGGGCTATAGCGTGCTACATTGGTAGCCATTGGCTCGAGATAAAAGGCCGAGGTGCCATGATGAACCATGATGATGGTGTAAGTCGAGACTAAAGTAAGTGAAACGCAATTCCCAACATACGAATATGCTATCATCAGCGACACAATTAAATGCAAAGCTGATGATGACAGGGAGTCAATACAAGCATTTGCACAGACCAATTGTCCTCCGAAGACAGTGAATTTGGCTCAAATAAACGTTGGGGCAATAACATAAGCCCTGTCTGTGAGTGAGAAAGATGGGGGGGCCTTTGAGATCTCCAATCTGTCTCCAATCTTTGACTCCACCTCCACCATTCCACAGAACAACTCCACAAGTCTATTAAGAGTCAGGACTGATGCTTCACTCGGTTGCCAATTAGGCAAAGACAAACAACCAGTGCAGGAGGGCACGTGTCTCATTGGAACTATGCAAGTTTACAGATTCATCCTCAAAACAAAAGATCTCACAATATCCGGGACTTTGCCTTATTCGATTTAGCCAAAAGAAGAAAAAGGGAAGGGTTGCAACTTTGGTTTTTTTGTATAAAAAAAATTGGCTTTATTATTTGTCCTTGGATTTGATTGAGCATGTGCGTGTCTTCAACGTCGTCGACGGCTTTTCTATCATACAGTAGCAGCAGCACACTCGGTCATTTTCCCCAATTCCACATATGGGAATCCCACCCATCACCATCTTGTGTGAGCCAACGTGGGGAGAGGCCCCGGGGCGGCTCTTTGCCAAGAACCTACCCCTGACATGCCACAGACCCACGAACAAGCCTTGACCACCTGAACTGGTTCTTCGGTTTATCAACAAGTTAACTTCATAGACATGTGGTCTGTTCTGTTGTCCGGTGTGCCTTCTTTCCTTTTATGTCGTGAGCAATAGCCCTGATGCAGTATTTGCATCTAGATCATTCATGTCATATCATATCATCCAAACTCCACTTTATCCTTCCAATTTGGGTACGTGTGTTCGGCACTTAGACCTCATTGCTGGGGTAAGTGACCTTGGTGGTAGGAACGAACTCCTCCTTGATGGCTCGAACATTGACGAAACGGGTTAGGAGGTTCTGGCTACCAGCCTTGTCGTTGGTGCCGGAGGCACGAGAGCCACCAAAGGGCTGCTGGCCGACAACGGCACCAGTGCTCTTGCAGTTGACGTAGAAGTTACCAGCGGCGTTGCGGAGATGCTCCTCAGCGAAGCGGGAAGCCTCACGGTCAGCAGCAAAGACAGCACCAGTCAGACCGTAGTCAGAGGTGGTCTCAATGAGCTTGCAGACATCGGCCATGGCGTTAGGGGCGGCGTCATCGTAGATGTAGGTGGTGAGGATAGGACCAAAGAACTCGGTAGAGAAGAACTTGTGGTTAGGGTTGGTAGTGGCGTAGATGGTAGGGTGGACGTAGTAGCCCTTGGAAGAGTCGTACTTGCCACCAACGACAAGCTCGAGGTCCTTGTCGCTCCTGGCCTCATCAATGGCACCAGAAAGCTTCTTGAAGGAGGCTTCGTGGATGACGGGACCCATGAAGTTGAAGTGCTCAGTAGGGTTACCAATCTTGATGGCCTCAACCTCAGCAACGAGCTTCTCCTTGAACTCGGGCCACATGGACTTGGGGACGTAGAGTCGGGAAGTGGCACTACACTTCTGGCCCTGGAACTCGAAAGCACCACGGACGGTCTGCTTGACAGCGTTATCAATCTCAGCGGTAGGGTCGATCAGGTGGAAGTTCTTGCCACCAGTCTCACCAACGACACGGGGGTAGCCTCGGTACCGGCCCTCGGCGATACCCTGGCCGATGGTGCCATAGAGCTGACGGAAAACGCTGGTGCTGCCAGTGTAGTGAAGGGCAGCAAACTCCTTGTGCTCAAGGACAACCTTGGTGATGTCGACGGGGTTACCGGGGACGAACTGGATAACGTCCTTGGGGAGACCAGCCTCAATCAGGATCTGGTAGACGAGCCAGTTGGAGGCAATGGCGAAGTCACTGGGCTTCCAGACAACGACGTTACCGAGAAGAGCAGGGGCACCGGGCAGGTTACCGGCAATGGCAGTGAAGTTGAAGGGGCTGACAGCGTAGACGAAACCCTCAAGAGCACGGTACTCGAGACGGTTCCAGACACCAGGAGAGTTGTGCTCGGGCTGGATGCTGTAGAGCTGTTCAGCGTAGTGAACGTTGAAGCGGAGGAAGTCAGCCAGCTCAGCAGCGGCATCGATCTCAGCCTGCCAAGCGTTCTTGCCCTGGCCAAGCATGGTAGCGGCCATGATATCGTAACGGTACTTGGTGGAGATCAGATCGGCAGCCTTGAGGAAGACGGCGGCTCGGTCGGCGAAAGGGAGAGACTCCCAAGCAGGCTTGGCAGCCAGAGCAGCGTCAATGGCGGCTGAGACATCGGCAGTGGTGGCAGTGTGGTAAGAGGCGACGGTGGTGGCATGGTCGGCAGGGTTCTGCTGCTTGGAGAGAGCTGAAGCCTTGATCTGTGAGATTTTGTATTAGACATAGCTCTTGTGATGGCCGAGGACGGCATTTGCGGCCAAACTTACCTCCTTGCCGCCAACAACGACGGGAACCTCGATGGGCAGCTGCTTTTGGAGCTTCTCAATGGCAGCGGCCAGGCCCTGTCGCTGCTCGCTACCCTTGGTGTAGTGCTGGTTGGGCTCGTTGAAAACCTTGGGGGTCTTGAAAGAAGCCAGAGTCGCAGCAGTTCGCATCTGCTGGGTTCGTGCAGCGGTGCGAAGACCGCGAGCACCAGCCCGGTTAAGGAACACCATGGAAGACATTGTGTGATGTGATTGTTTGTGTTCTTCGTTATCGGGGTAGTCGTCGAAGATGATGAGAAGGTGGGGTATCACAAAAGCAAAGAAAACACGGATTCGACGACGTTCGAAGATGGAAGATGAAGAGAAAGGAAAGAAGGAGCAAACTGATGATGGGGAAATAAAGTAGGTATAAGAATAAGTCCAATTCCGTCCTGACTAACAGAAATTCCGAATTCAGTTGCAGTATCACGACTCAGACCCAGACCCAGACCCAGACCTGGACCCAGATCTCGCGTAGCAAATCCTCCAATCTTCCATCAAAAAACTGAACTGCCGCCGTTCGCCACACGAGCTAAGCTAAGCAAAGCAAGCTACATCCTATCATTTTCCTTCTCTCAGAGACTGTCTTTGGGCTTGTCCTGTCAGAGCTAATCTTTTTTGTTTGCGTTCGCGGCTTATCACGGCCTAAAGAGAATCTGCGTGGGGAACGAGCACATGACGTCGCCTGTCTTCCCCAGCTACGGTCAGCCCGGGGATCGAGATTGATTGGACAATGGCTTTTCCATGCTGGGGCCGATCTCGGCAGATGGGGCATGGCGTGTTATCTTTGGTTACCCGCGAAGAGCCGCACCCGTACCATTAGAACACGGGCCTTTTTTTATTCTTGAGTGTCTTTGCTAGGTACCAAGCATATTGTTTTCGAGTGAAATCTTACCGGTTGGGGTCTTTTGAAAGAAATCAAGATTGAATATTTCTCTCACTTAAGAGAGATATTCCCACCTGCATCTTTCATCAAAAATACCTATACGTTCAGCCTGCAAATTTATTCCATACTGTACGTACATAGGCATCTCCATGAAAGTCAAGGATGTGAGCTCTAGTTTAGTTCTGGGGTGTTTGATAAACTTATGGCCGCGCTTTTCCGAACGTGGGGTACCTGAATGGTCATGTGCTATCTCAACTTGGTACAGATAGCGACTGTGTTAGAACCATCTCGCGTCAAAGACTTTACCTGTTTCGACTTGGTGAGCCTGGGGAAGAAAATTTCCTTATCTGTTACATGCAAGACATGGTTTCTCATCATGGCTCGACACATGCTAATATGAGAATGTACTGTAAACTAGAAACATAAACACTACAATACTAGCCTCGTCAGGCCGTCAAATATCTCGAGCAGTCATGTTCTACAAGCTCCAACTCTTCGCGTTCTTCAACCGCTATTTCGTATGCTTGATATCAGACAATTACCTTCAACGGGTATAAACAAATAGAAACTACCCCATGGGAACTTCGCTCTCTCGCTGGTTGGCTGGGTATCTCTTATCCTTTTCCAGACTCTCTTCACTCTTACTGTCTCATTCCATCAAGTAATATTCGTCCTGTTCGTTTCACCCTTCGCAAACCGTTGCCGGTCCGGCCCCACATACGTTGGGTCCACCCCGTCACTGCTTTCCAGCCGGTTGCATTGACCCTTTTATCAAGTTTGACAACGACATGGTTATTGTACATGTCCCACACAGAAACCTTCAAGTCGTCCTACTGCTGGCTTCCTGACGTGACCGACGTCCTGGGTGTGTTTGGCTCATCTCTTTGCCGGTAGTTGAGTAATGGCACGGTCAATCCGTACATCTCTGTTCGACCCTCCTTGTCGTGCTGGTCAATTTCCACGTTGATGCACACATCGAGTGTTCCGTCATTGGCTCGTCCGTGGGTCTCTCTTGATGCCGCCCTATGTGTTGTTCCTGCCTGAATTTCTCCCTTGTGAAGAACCTTGTGGCCGTCATTTCCCAAGAAGTTCTGCTCCGAGGTCTCAGTTCCATTCTCATTTACACTGCCGTTATGAGTAGGGGGGTTATTGGGTGAGTTCTCGGTGATGGTCGCGAAGTTGCGGCTAGGCATTGTGCAGTTGTTGTGGTTGGCTGTCTTGTTGGACTCGCCGGGGTCCTTGTTGAACAGATTGAGCAGAGTCTCATCCGTCTTGGCGTTCAAGTGATGAATTTTGTTCCTCCTAGCCAGAAGGTTTGCAACAGCCTGGGGAGGTGGCTTGTTGACAATGGCCGACGAAATAACGTTCACCATGTAGCGGTGGTCCTCCTCAACGGGGATCTTGAGGTTAGGGTTGGAGTAGAAACGTCCCAGTGCAGCCAGATGCACATCACCTCCAAGAATTGTCACACGGGCATTGTACTCGGCAGCAATCTTTTGAAGATCCTCCATGAGCTGACGTCGCTCCTTCTTGTGCGTTCTCGCAGTGTAATGGTCATCCAGGTCATCCAGCAGATCAATGCTGCCATCGAATTGGTTAAAGAGACTTCCTCCAAGTCCGAACCGTTTGTTGAGAATCTTTATGGGACCCATAACTGGACTGCGGAAGATGTTCTCAAGCCAGGTTAAACGCTACAACATGTTAGTAAGAATCTATGCCCATCTGTCTGCAGAAAAAAACATACCGGATATGCGATGGGGATGCCGAGGAGCAGGATCACATGCTTGATCGGCTGGCCTGACGCTGCCGTCGCTTCAAGCTCCGAACGCAGTCTTGAGAAAATCTTCTGATACGTCTCAGGATAATTGACTTGGTGGCGTGTGCGCTGTGTTTCAAAATCAGTTCCTGCTTCTCATTATGGGACGTAATTTACTGACCTCGACTCGTGCGTCGATGCCAATGAGAGCGATGCGGGCTCCGAGACGGGTATAGATGTTGAAAGAGCGCTCAGCAACATATGGGCCAGGATGGTCACCAACAATGTACTCGGGCGATTCAATCATTGGCGCGACGTAAGTATCGATGAGCTGATTGGGGTCGGGTCCCTGGGTGCTCGCTTCAAGAGCAGCATGGTCTGATATACGTCAGTACGAATCGCCGCAAAAGCCAACAAAGCCGTCATACCAGAGGTGTAGGTTGATGGGGGTGGTGGCAAATGATGCTGGAAGAGCATGTAGTATTTATGGGCAGTACCGCCAATACCACGAAACACATCGCATTGCATAAAATCGTCGACATATGAGCCGAACCCGTCAATAATCTAGAAAATCGTTAGCAACGAACGTGCCACTACTGTCACAATCATGCCATAGACTTACATCATGGTCATCCCAGATATTGACCTGGGGAATCTGGCCGTTGACACCAGAAAACGGCTCAGTGTTGTACCAACGGATGTAGTTCTTCAGGTAGTAGTCGTCGCATTGAGCCCGCAGTGTCTCGGGGAAGGGGTGGTGTCTTCGCTTCTTGGGGTTACTAATACTGGTCCATTGGCGTAAAGGACCGTCAACTCGGATCCCATCGTTGTAGATCTGATCACCACCGCCAATCATGACATGATAGGGAACCTCACGGTGCTTTCGTGTAACATCGTTCCATAGAGCTGGGCCGCTCCAAGCCTCCTCGTCGGTCCCGACGCTGAAACCGTTGCACGAGTGGAACATGATGCGAAAAGACTCGGTTGCGGCAGGAACGAAGAATCGGTTCACTCGAGGCTTGTGCTCGCTTGAGAAGCGCATCTCAGGCAAAGCATAGTCGTAGCCACATTCGGTGTCCTGAATCGGAACACTGATATCGAAAGCCCAGAAGGTATTGCGTGGGTCGGAGTAGAGGCAATGTCCGTCTACACGTACCTCTTCGCGGGCTCCGTTGGTCGCATTGCCATCATCTGGGAGAGTGACAGCTAGGTTGAGCGTCAAGTAAGGCTGGTGTACAGGAATCTTGCCGCCGCCTTCCACGACAACGAGCACACTACCATGCCAGCGTCCCTGGTTCGTATGGCGATAGTTCAAGAGAGGACCACAAACAATTGTCTTTCCGTCAGGAGGGCCTTGCGCAGCATGGCTTTGGCCAGCATTGTCGCCCACAATAGCTCCGTTAGCATCGCCTGCGGCGGCAGTGATGGGCCTGTATTTTTCTGTCTCACGATTGTCGTCTTCTGGTTCGATGCGCGACTGGTTGAGGAAGTTTACGAGGCCGCCCGTGTCGGTATTTTCTTGGTGAGGATCTCGTGGTGGACCTTCGCCAGTGAGCTGCGAAGCATGCGCAGCATAAGCAGATGACTCCTGGTGTCGCCAACGGCTGGCCGATGCATGGGGATTCCGTTGCGACTCAGTGGTCACTGGTCTTTCTCCTGCTCCTGACATTTTGTGAATATGGTCGCGATCAAGAGCCAGTGTTGATTCTCGGGCAGCTTAAGATGGAGGCCTCCCGTGTGGTACAGGGAGGATCGTCGCAAGTTTTGTGCGATTGATATCGGAAAGGAAAATCGACGACGCGGGTTGTCACTGAACGCGACAAGGACAACAGTCCGACTGAATGTGTACTCTTCAATACAGAACAATCATGTGCTATGAAAGCCCAAAAAGAAGCCGTAGCAATGAATACTTGAAGAATGAATTGACAATGTTCAGGGGAAAAACTCGAGGGTAAGACCGACGGGAGAGCAGTTTAGTCTAATAGTAAGACACCGAGACACAAAAACATAGTACAACTAGGTGATGACGCAGGTGCAACCAACCAGACACACCCCATCCTGTCTGTTGGTGCAGGGGTCATGGGGTAGCTACGATAAGGGACTTGAGAAGCACCAGAAAGAGCGTACTTATCCTCGCTTTACGAGTGATATGTACCAATTGGCGTTAGATCCGAGGTCACTGCTGACTCTTTCGTCAACTGGTTAGCGACACCAACAACGCTCCATTTCAAGTAGCAAGACTCGAGGGAGCACTTCATTCGAGGCACGAGGCACAGATTAAAATTATAGGAATTGAGATCAGGGAATTAGGTGGGATGAGATGGCGCCAAGCGAAATATCAAGTCTCCCATTGGTCAATCGGTTATAGTGGAAGTGATCCCTTGAAGAATCCAGGGAAACCAAGACATCAACTCGTTATCAAGCTTCATGATTGACTTTACCTTGGTGATGTTTACAAGTTTGGCCAGGATGTGTACTCAATGGTTGACGGGGTAATAATTGTGCATAACTAGACGTGACATCTTTTTTGTGGCCAAGCTGAATAAACATGAGCTAACCGCTTCTCTTAGTCGTGAGAGCAACATGAAACAGGAACAATCTAACAATCCACATATCGACGCCATTTAATTTTGAGCTTCACTAAGATCTTCATGGCGATCGATTACGTGAGGGTCGTGGATAACTCAACTTTCCTTTCTAGTGTGCCTCGATGCCCAGCCTACCCGGTAGTGGTATGTCTAGATTTATTCCTCGTCTGTTTCGTAGGACAACCAGGTGTAATTATCTCCAGCCCAAATTGGCAATTGTCCTCAGTAATAAGCTAGAAATTAAGCATGAAATCCCAACTGACGTCATTCACTTACACTTGCGTATCTTGTTATGGATAATTGTACTGAATCCGATCCATCGAGAAGCAATATGTTTACCAGCTATAGCATTCTGTCATCGCATCTCACCACTAGGCTTTTGATAGAGACCTGCTGTGTGTTCTTTATATACTCATGCTATTCTTTTTTGTACTGTAGTCTAGCTTTAGAAATCGTGTAAAACCATCAAATAAAAAACTGTTGCGCCAAAAGCAGGTATTGCTTTTGTATTGTGTGAGAATAAGGTTACTTCTTGAGCCCTACATTTTTGAACTTAAAGCTTCAGAGCGAGGGAAAAAAGTCGATATTAGACTTTAGAAATCGTGTAAAACCATCAAGTACTGTAGTCTAGGTAGGTGAGTTGAAACTTGGCCTTTGTCCGGGTAGATCGAGTCAAGCAATAAGTTGGCTGGCCAGACTACACCTATTGTTATGATCTCGAGAACGAAGATAACTTACGAAAGAACCATGCCAAGGCAGTACTGAAATGATTGATTAATGTATAAACTATCTACTTAGAAACACAGAAGAAGAATCATGCGAACTGTGTTGGTGCTGAACCGCAGCTTAATCCTCGTGACGACCCCACATATGATTACATAATCAGACCACTCATATCAACCTCAAAATTTCGTGCAAAATTTTACCTCTTCTACAACTTACAATGCAATGCAATGCAATGCTCTCGAGCAACGCCGCGTCGTCGGCTGCAGTTGAACTGCAACGCATGATCCCTGATGATCAAGCCTTGATCATCTCAAGATCACCGCATAGGTTCGACGAGGAGTTTGAAACACGAGGAAACGCGGTTGCGATTGAGTGGTTTAACCTGTCGACCTGATGCACAAGATCTCAAATACGAGTGATCGAGGCAAGGTTATCCTCGGTAGGTGAATACTCGGTGAAACAGTGAAGCGCAGTCAAAACTGCAAACGGCATTAGTGTGTACAGCAATTGAGCTCTTCTATGCTCGCCTTGCTGAAGGAATTTTCTTCGTGCCAAGATTGATACTCCCCTACTATTACCAAACACCTCTGTTCTTGTAATCCCACAGACACTGGTGCATGAAGATAGGGGTACATGCCATCACATTGGCCATGTTATATCAAAATACATTTTCCAAGACGACCGTGAAACAGAAGAATGCCAACGCTTCGATGACTGCAAGAATGGTACTGTCACCATAGATGCCCCCTCACATCGGCCAAGATGAAGCTAGCCCCGCTGTCTTAGTTTCCAACGTGGGAATTTTGTAGAGCTAGGAGTCGACCGCTAAGTTTGGCGTTGTGAACCCCTAATTCGCCAAGCGGCTTGGGTCGTATGTAAGGATGGAAAGACAGTATGCACCTCACATGTTGGTCGATTATTCAAATGCCAAGCGAGACAAGCCTTGTTGGGCGGTCGTTAAATTGATGAGAAGCCCACACCACCGCAAACTTGTGGGCTTGGTATCAGACAAAAAAAGGATGTGGTGAGCAAAAAGGCAAGAAGAGCCACATTAGGGGTTGTGTTGGCAGGTTGGCAACATACGGCCTGGTCAGTGCATGCAGGCCCATCAAGTTGGAACTTCGTCTACCTCGGATTCAGCCGACCAGGGATCCAGACAGCCAGAATGGTAGCTGTACTATTTGCAGGGCCGCAGCTAAGGTCCCAATTGTTGTTCATCTTGTCGGATCAATTACCCAACCAAGACCTAGTCCTACGATTGATTACAGTTACACATGCATAGGTACATACACACGGACGATACAGCTGAGGGAATGGGGCTACAAGAAGGGGCCTCAGCCGTATTCCGAAGTTGAACAGCATAATGCATGCAAGGGAAACCGATGTGAATGCTGGCTGCGAAGTTGTGCCACCAGCTTACATGCTGTACTCTACATTACGGTGTACCGGCAGACAGATATACTTCACCAGGCGCAGCCGCAACCGCAGCCCCGTTCATAATAAGCAAACAAACAAAGCTGGGGAAATCTGATGGCTAGTGATGCAGAGCATGGCAGACAGATAGCATGGTGAATTATTCTGTCACCGCTAAGGTTCTCAACGGAACAGACGACCAATAGCTCTAGCACGTGGAGTTATACAGGTGCACATGATATGAATAAGCACCATAACAAGTTCACAGTCATGAAACCGACGCCCCGTTGACAGGCAGACTTTTGGAATATCCATACTACGTATGTAGTCTGTAGGAACAACAAGAAACATGTCTCCTAGACAATAAGACAAGGCTCGGGAGAAAGACACGTGCGGAACAGGCGCCTCTTGCTCAGCTTTGAAATTACCATGGGTCGGATAAGTATTTGGCGTGGTAAAAAAAACATGTTAGTATGCTGATTCTAGGCTTGATCAGGTAAATGGATTTGAGAAGTCAGTGAACGTCATTAACACGTTATATGAACAATCTACTGGTACATGGTGGTACATTAGGGTGGGGGCTGCCTTGGCCTTAGTGAGAGATGAGCTTAGAAACATCTTATCCATGGGTCATGGTCATGGCTGAAAGGACCCCTTTCTCGGAGTCTGAGCTTCCCGAATCCTATCATCGCGTATTTTAGAATGTGCGAGCCAATCGATCTCTTGCTTCTTTGTTCTAGATATCTGCATGATATGCTGCAGTCGCATCACTAAGGAAATAATCTTTCAATATCTAATAAGCGGTAAACAGAAGGGAAAAGTAAAAATAAACAATAAAAGGAAAAAGAAAAACAACAACAACCTGCTACAGCTGTCCTGGCTTGACCTGCCCTGTCACGGAGAAAAGCCTACGCTTTAGCTCCCTTTTTTGCGGTCGGCGGGTACAGACCAGACTACAGTACGGCATGACGATTGCCCACTAAGCGATCGATCCATTGGCTTCGCAGCCGACTTCCAACGGCGGCTCTAGTTCTGTATTCTCATTTTAGCAAGAGACGGCTCCATGCACAAATTAGAATAATCTGGATCTTTTCTGTCAGTGTTGAGAAAATTAGACTAATAATGATCGTGTCTTTTTCTTTTCTTTTTTTCTTACCAGTTCCTAGTAAGGGGGCGGCTCATTACCTTTTGTGCAGTGTACAGTACTGTACAGTGATTTATCGGCCCTCAATCTCGGACAACCCCATTGATTCCACTTTTTGAATGAACCATGATAAATACCTACACCTTGGTTAACCAATAATAGGCGACTTCTAATCATGCGAAAATTGATGGAATTGATCGTTGTCTTGACAAAATGTAATCCTAGGTGATACAATGTCAATACGTTCGTGGATCCTCCACATACAGGTCAAGTACGTACCCATCAACTATCAGACGCAGATCTTCAACCGCAGATGAAATCCGTTGCTATGTTTATGTTCAGTTACAGTACATTCCCAAACGATGACAAGAGTCAGTCTCAGTAGGATCCACCATTAGTTGTCCGTCGTCACGACTTTGGCCCATCGAATCCACTAACGAGATCTCAGCCGGACAGGCAACCGGACGCTGAACAATGTCCGGTGTTAGTTGAGACACCCAACGCACATGTCAGAATAACAGAGGCTTGCGGACTCTTGCACAAGAGCTTGAATGAGCTGCACTTGTTATTGTTCCATGTGCCGTTATCGCTCAAAGTGTTTAACGTATCTCTCAATGGGGCACCTAACGATGGATCAAACTCATGATCTCCATCTAGCACGGCCGAGTTGCGTCGCGGTTGTGAATTTTTAATTGAAGATCTGATTTATTAACCGTTCTTCTGTAGATGAGAAAGCTTGAATGCATGCATGCATTCAGATATTTCCGAGAAAAACTGGGAAGTTGAGGTTTCCGAAACACTTGTTTCACCGATTTGGGGATCAGAAATGCCATCATCTTCAAGCGCCTTTTGTCCCTATAATAGGACTGTGATATGGGTTAACAGATGGGTAATTCTCTCCGAGTTTTATCAGTTATAGTCTGTACAAATGACTCCAGTTATGAGAAGAGTATCCGTATACATGCGAAAGTTCGAGGTTGAAAGTCAATTTTACTGTGCGCCTCGCCCGCCGCCACCAAAGCTTCCACATCGGAGCTGCATGTCGCGAGGTACAATACTTTCCAATAGTACTGCACCATTGGGTTAGCTATAGCTACCAAGGTTTCTGAAATATCAGACTCGGTGTCAGACGAATGTATGACACAACAGGTTCGGAACAAAACTTGGATGAATAATGATGCTTGTTGCCCCCGACTTAGTCTCACTGCGTCTCACTCTGCTTCGTTGTCAATACCGTCCAGTGATAGCGCGCAGTAAGGTGATGACCTCCATGGGTTGCATTCGCCTCTATCCAATCTTTACTCATGTACCTTGTGTACTTATTAATCTGTGCCTCTTCAGCTCCTTGTACCGCCAGGCTTCGACCCCTGGAGAAGGAGAGTGCCGTGGCCTTGGACAAATAGCATGTCACCGACATGAATTGCTAGCAACTCTGCTGGGTGGGTGGGTGCCTTGATTCTTTGATCATGGACGACTACGGATATGTCGAGCTTTCTTGGAATAACACAGCAGAAAGGTCCTAATGCAGGCGCATCGTTATCGGATGTTTCAATCTTGTGAGAGTCCAAATGCGATTCCCCAAAAGAATGACACAAGAAACAAACAAAAGAAGATGGCGCTCAGACTCGACGCCTCATCAATTAATGACGTTTTGTTCATTTCAAAGGCGTTGATCGAAATTGGATGGAGCTCGTTCGTTGCAGCGGTTCATCTGCTGAAGCTGCATTCAATTACGGCGCTCCACCCCGCCAATGCTTCAACTTATTAACGCCCCTTGCCTGGCCTAGGTGCCCTGTCCGCCGTCCTGACTTTCTAATCCAGGTGGCCTTCTATAGAGAACAATTATTCCATCTTTTAATCTGTGCGTTGCCCCATCCTGATATCCTGACATCCCAGTTAGACGACTGCGCGCAGCCCCTTCTGGGCATAGCCTCATTTTATTCTTGGGAGTTCCTTGTGCTGATTGTACTGTATGGCAGCTCAGCCCAGTCCAGTATATACAACCAACACACCTAATAAGCTGGGCGGGCGGATACTTCGGCCTTCTCCCTACCGATTCCCTGTCAACCACCTCCTCTGTCTTGCCGCTCCTCCACCCCGGCTAGTCCGCGGCGATCCTGTATGTGGAGGTTGCAGGTTGCAGCTGCAGGCGGCACTAGTAAAAGCCCAGGTACTCTACGGTAAAGTACGAGTCCACCTTATACCAGGTTAGGCCTGCACTTGTTGTGTTGCAATTGCGGTTCTATTCTACCAGTATCGAAACCCTGAGAAGCCTCATCCTTCCTTCTTCCAAATCACTTGGAATCTTTCGCATTGCAATCCTACAACGTTTACTCCTGTAGTAACCCTCATACCTCTGCCGGCCAGAGAAGCCTCGAATAATGGTGATCTGAGATACGTTTATTTACTTTGTTAATTTTTTCCTATACGGTCGGCTTTCCAACAAGAGGAGCATCAACCTCCGGGACGCTTCTCTCGTTGAAGCCTGCTTAGTACTCTGCATTTCTTGTCATGAGATGACTGGTCCTACCATGATGATGGCTCCGGCCGTGGAACCCTCGTCTTCTTTCCCGCGGTCTCAATCCAGCCCGGACCTTCTCTCGCTATCTTCTCTCGAAAATCCTTCATCCTCAACAACAACAACAACACCGATACCGCAGCGAGAGAATATTTCTGATGCTCAATCATTACCAAATTTCGATCTTCCTACCTTCAATGTCGATTTCAACCTCGATACAAGTCTCGACACGATTGTTTTTCAGCCCGAGGAGCAACGGGCTGAGATCAAAGCGCCACCACCTCCCTCGATCGTTGAAACAAAAGAGGCGCCTGAAGAGGTCTCACGGTTCAGACACGCCCGAAAAAGAACGAGCTCGCTCATAGACACTCGAGGCTGGCTCCCAGGCTCTAAGAGCACGTCAGATCTTCACAACCTTGGCCAAGAGCCCCCTCGACCGACCACCTCTGCAGGAGACAAGAAGTTTGGCGATGGATCAATCGGAAACCTGAAACCCATAGAGAAACCCCTGACGAAATCCGAATCTTTCGTCAACTTTGCCAAACGCTCATGGAGACCTTCTCGCTCCCCCTCGCCCATGAAGAGCGCCGATTCTGCCAAGGAAAACGAAGAGTTGTCTGGGCGCAACCGATCCGAGAGCACAACCTCGATGAAATTAACCAAGA